GACACAGCTGCTCACAAGCCTGAACTTTATTAGGAACCAACCCCTAAGATACAAATCACCCAAAAACTCCGGAGAGGAGTTGTGTGAAAGTGTTACGTACAGACACATTACACAGAAGAGAGCATGGCCCATCCAGCAGCCCCTCCGACGCACAGGAGCGACAGCGGCCGACAGCAGCAGCTGCCCCAGCTGCAGAGCCCTCTGCCAGTGCTCAGGCCAGGGCTCTCCCATCGGTGCGCTCAGGGGTAAGCAGAGCCGCTGCCACATATCCTGTCAGAGTCCCCTTGGCCTCAGCTCTCCGTACGTGTTTAGTGCCCAGTGAGAAAGCAGCCGATGCAGCCAGCACACGCTGCGTTGCTCCCGGCGGGAAAAAAACTGAACAGGAAACTGCAGTGCCACCCTCCTGCAAACAGGGAAGAGACCCCCGCACCTAGAATACGGAGAAGGCCGTGGAGGGCTCCCCGAGAGTCCACTGGGAGTGAAAGAGGACATGAGGCAAACTGGAACCAGATACAGCTGGAGCCAGGGAGATGGCAGAAGTGCAAGCGTACTGCACAGCCTCAAGGGCAATGCCACATCTCCTCATGATCATATTCCCTGCCTCAGCCCCAAATAATTAGAAGTCTTACCGAAGGAAATTAATAACCCCTAGCACACAGGCCATAGAGCAGAGGGGCAGCCTGTGGACAACACTGCCCTTGAGACCACCAGGGGAGAGGAGGAAGCACCGTCCTGTTTCAGCCTTCACCTCGATTCCCTGTGGGAGGGGGCACAGAGTCACTGTGGAGGCAGCCAGGAATGGCACCCAAACATCAAGCACAGCTTCCCTATATAGCTACCCAGACTGAGAGGGGCTGTTCCCTGCTCCAGTCAAGATTCCCCTCAGTTCACCTCCTGGAGCAACAAAGATCATGAAAGCGGCAGCACTTGGTTTAAGTACAGCAGGAAGAGAGCTCAAAAAGAAGAGCAAGTTCATTTGAGGTTAATAGAGGAAACCAATTTCAAGGGAAGTCTGTTTCAGAGAGGAGCAGCTGTCACAGCTCCTGCCCCTCACACTGGAGTTACAGCCCAGTCCGTTTTATGTCTTCTTCTTTAGCTCCTCAAATCTCCGAGAAAGATCATCAAAGTCAATGTCTTCAGAGGCAGAAGAGCTCGCGCCGGCAGATGCTGTTGGCAGAGTATCTGGCACGGATGGCAATTCAGGCAGCACAAAGTTATCAAAGGTATTAGACGCTCCAGCTCTTGGTTTAGGAGAAGCTTCTGACTTGGGCCCAGGCCCTATTTAGAATAAGAGAAATATCATTTCACCTCACCATCATCACACTCTCACCAGGCCGAAGAGCCACACAAAAGAAAGGTCGTTCTATCAAAAAGACCAGTGTGTTTTTCTGAACATGACCAGTAGTCACGCACCTCCAACTGCATGTAGACTCAATGGGGAAAAACACATTCCAGGTTTATAGGGCTGCAAGGGGCTGCAGCCATGGCAGATCGACTGGTGACCCTACCCTATGGCTGCACCAGACAGCAGAAGATCCCGCTCCATTGCCCATAGCCAGCTGCAGGTGGGCTGAAGCTCCCACATGCCTATACTCACTGGACTGGATCATGGGGATTCAAACTCCCGGTTTTCTCCATCTCAACACCTCCTAAAGACACATGCAGGTATCACATGCTGTCACCCAGCTGTCAAATTGAAGCACAGCCAGATCCAGTCCACCCATAGGCCTAGCTTCTTCAGCACACCTCACCAACACCCCTCAGAGGACTCCATTAGATCATCAGAAATCCTTGCTGGAGCTGGCAAGGGTCTGCTTACTCTAAAAACCCACTCTACCCTTGTCAAGTGCTAGAGATAAGTGGTTTCAAAACACACAGAGCAGAATCACACTGTACAAGGCAGGAGAATTTTGTTATGATCCAGTTGTTATGCATGAAGCATCTCGTAAGCCTTTAGACAGATGGACCAAGGGATAACAGCTATCTCTACTAGTCCTGCTCTGCTGTATGCAACCTCAACACTGACATTAACACACACCTATCTACCCTCCTAGTGCTTCTTCCATTCTGTTGCTGCAGAACAATATTCTTTATGCTGTCTAGAAATATATTATCACTTAGAGCTGTTGCTTTCTCACTTTATCCTCCAATGCCCTGTACTTGGTCTGCTGAGACAGCTTAAGCAGGAGACCCAGTACTGACTGCGAAGCCAGACTCTCGTTCTTGAGTTTCCCAGTGGAAGTTTGGATCCTCCCTGTTTTGAGAGGATACTCCCCATTTCCATCAGTCCTTTCCAAACTCAAATCCTGCTCTCAAGCTGCATCGAGTTCTACACATTGTTCCCTATATGGAAAGCTTCCTCCCAGGGACACTAGGATCCTGAGCTAACCACAGCCCCAAACCACCCTAAGTTTCCCATACCTCTTGACATACTCACCAGCCACCGGCGCAGAAGAGTCCTTGTCAGCATTAGGCTCATCAATCTGAAAAAGACTCTCAGTTACCACAGCTCACTCTCCTACCAGGCACAGGATCAGGTAGGCATGTACGCACTGCTCATGGACAACAGCAGCCACACCTATGCAGAGCAATGCATACCACACCTCTTCCCAAGAAGGCAGGGAACCCTGGCTTCCAGCACACTCAGAGGAATCTGCCTCTCTTATCAATCAAGGAGGCAGTACTTGGACTTTCCTCTCCCGCCCTGTCAATTAAAGCAGCTTCACCAGCCATATTCTGGAACTGGATAAACAGAGCATATCCACTAGCAGATCTGAAATGTTTATCAAGGACATAAGTGGGAGAAGACTGCCCTCTTCATCCATGTAATCACAGCTCCTGCTTTCTTTCTTTTATAAACAATAGACAGGTTCTTGTAACCAGCAGCGAGGTATGAAATGACCGCATCTCAGGTCTTGGTCCAGCTGGGACAAAGGCCCACGGCCCGGTCAGATGTGCTGGTGTAACTTCTCATTCCCTGTGGGCTGCAGTCAGTGACATCTCTCTCTACCCAGCCAACAACTGCTGCACCTGTGCCTGCATCTCCTGGACTCAAACGCCACTGGGCAGCTAGTACAAGGTGTTAGCTCACACAGGTGCTTGGCTATGCTCATCCCTACTCAGGATACTGCAAAAACAAGAACATCACTGAAAGCAAAACAAGAGGCATGATCATGAACCACAGCAACAAAAACATATGCAAGCATAGAAAGAGAAGACTCCAGTCTCTCCTTTGTTGTCCCCAAGGACAAGAAAAGTCTGGGAAAGAAAGAGCGTTTAAACACACATCATCTGGGTCAGCCAAAATTGTCATCCAGGTTAGCTATGAATTAGTTCAAAAGCCATAGTTAAACAGACTGAAGGTGATAAATTGGAATTTGTGGACTCTACTTGTTAACTGTTTATCACCATTTTAACAATGCAGTAAAATAAATCTTGGTTTTCCTTTGCAGCCAAAACACACAGCTGAATGAGGAACTTCTCTTCACAAGTCTTTGTCCCATCACATGTACTCAGTGATTCACCACACCCGTAAGCAATGACAAGCACCACCCCAAAAGCTCCAAAAGGTTGACAGCAACGTGCTTAGTGAACATTTGCCTTTTCTGTGGCTACCACTGCACTCTTTTTGAGGTTCCCTCTGCTGCCTACAATGGTGATTCACCTAAGGCACTTACAGACTCATATGTTGGTGGGGTTGCCGGAATTGGCGGTGGATGGATGTTAGTGAAAGGCTGGTAGGTCCCCACTGGTAGACCGTTGAAGTTCTCCTGTACAGAGAGATTACAGTCATGCACCAGACTACTGGGAGAGCAACCATGGGACACAATACACCTACAGCTGCTGTAAGAGTCAGAGAAAGTAGCAGTCTAAGATAAATGCAGGCAAGTATCCAACCTGACATATTTTATACTTACTAGGAAAAGATTCTCAAGTATTAAGTCAGATGTAGTCACCTGGAGCAACCAGACTCAGCTAACAGGACTGTGGGTTATTCTAAAGAACCAGCATGACTAAACACTTGCCATCTTTCAAGGCATTAGAAGTACCACAACAAAAGGGGTAATAATCTGCATTAAGCACACCTGAGCCATTTCTCCTGAGTGCAGTGTCACAAAACAGGAAGAAGTGTCTCTGGCTCACTCGAGTCTTTGTATTAACCTTACTTGTAACACAACAGCAGCTCAAAGACCCAGACTTGGCACAAGCCCTCAGCATATTTATGCCTGGGCCAACAGCCAGATGATGATACTTGGCCCAGATTTTCCAGAAAAAACACTGCAGCATTGCTGGGACCATATTAAGACTCCAAGCCATCCCACTGTTCTGCCACTCTTCGGTCTACACAGACATCCTGTAAAATGACTGAATTCAGACAACGGTGCCCTTTTCAGCTCCCACCTTCCACACTCACAACAAATCATCTCCAAGAGCCACTGGCCTGGTCCCCCTCCCTTGCAGGTCTGAAGGTAGGGCACTTTCGCATTTTTCTGCGCTGTTCCCACCCTACACACCTTGCCCGATTTCCTTGACTGAATCTTGGCACGCTACCAGCCTACCAACTTCAAAGTGCAGCTCCAACCCCTGGTAAAAAGCCTGGCAGTCAGACAACTGCCTCAGGAGTTAAGTCTGGACTCCTCTGTTCCCTGAAGGCAAAGAGGACTGGCTGGACAACAGGGGTAGGAACCTCCATAGTCAAGAAGCAACATGAAGCTTCAGCTGCACTGGCTTAATTTCCATCCCATACAGTTTCACACCAACACAATGGCCTTCCGATGCATCAAGCTATCGGGTACAGACACTTCCCAGTCAGCACGCACAGGGCTAAGCACCACAGTGGGCATCTTCCACAGAAAAAGGGAATGCTCAAAGCAAAGGCACTTACCGGTCCCTTTGGAGGTGCATAGGAGAAGGGTGGATTTGGCGTTGGCATGGGCATAGGCATCATCACTGGCATGGGTACCAGCGGGGCTGTAAATCCACCCCCTCCTCCCCCTCCGTGGCCACCCTTCTTTACATCATCTGTGAATCCCACATCAATCAGATCTGCCTCTCCGCCTGCAGGGGCTTCAGCCTGGAGAGAGTGGAAGAATTCTGCTCACCAACACATCTCTGTTCTGATCACAGCCCTCTGAACAGCATTAGATGCAGCTTTTGGTACGGGAGAAGATGGGACAACACAACATGGACACAGCACAGAGGAGCTATACAGTGATATTAATGGGAATCAGAAAGGGAATCAGGCTATAGCATGACTATGGCCTCATGCCATAAGGTGTGGGAAGGAGCAGGGATTGTGCTATGGGAGGGTCGCCTAGAAGATACCAAAGCACAATGACCACTGAGTTTGCTGCAATGCCACAGCCCTGTGCTCTGAAAGTCCAGAAAGCACCAATAGGACATTTCAGTCACCGGAACACAGAAGAGAGCTCCAGACTTGCAGGTGCTTCACTCACCATCACCACCGAGTCAGGCTCATAGGGCACATTGTAGTTCTTGGCAATCTCGATGAGGTATCTCTCCACCAGAATCTTGGGCGGTGCCTCCACACTCAGCTTGTGCATCAGCTGGAACACAGGAGCGCAAAGACACTCAGTGGGACCAGGGCAGCACAGCGGAGCTCTATCCCAGCCAGGGCCTCCTGCTGCGGGGAGCACAGTGTGGGCTTGGGGAGGCCTTTCCTCCCAGTACAGTGCTGCTGCAGAGGAGGCTGCTGGCAACCACAGGCCAGGGCTTCAGGCATTCTGCTCCTCTCCATCCACAGCCAGCAGAGCAGGGTCCTGCCTGCCAGGGACCTGAGCACTATGGTTCCGTGCACCAATGCATCAGCCACTGGCCACAGGAAAAAGGGGCAGAAAGCCACAGGAGGCATGTCTGTTCTGCCAGCTCCAGCTGGCTGCAGCTGTTCCACCAGTTCATTACCCTGTCATTGACTGTCCCAATCTGGTTTGTCCGGCACAGCTTCCCATACTCCTTGCTGTACTTGGCACATAGCTGGTCAGCAACCTGCAGCAGGAGAGAAACTCTGGGAACATGAACACCCTTACTTTCCCCTACTACACACTGCACATCTGCTGTAGCCCCTAAAGCCACCCACTGCCCCCGCCCCACCAGATCACCCTCATTTCTCCCACTGAGTGCCCCAGCTGAGCAGCCGTAGCCATCTCTAACACTCCAGGGACACCTCTACTGGGGTCTCCATCTGCAGAGCCCATAAAAACATGTCCTCTGCGTTAATGACAGAGTCCCAGACAAAGGCTTCCACCAACGTGCAGCGTCACTCCCACCCTGCACGTGTAACACCCCTTAAACAATCCAACTCACAATCTTCAACTCAGCCACTTCTGACTGGAGTCGTGGTGCAGCCCAAATCAGTGTAGATACTGCTTCTGCCAGGCCAGAGTCCAGCTCCCTAAGGACAACAGAAGACAATCCGGTCTCCACACCAAGCACGTAGTCTTTGCTGCCCTCAATCTGTTTAGCCTGAAAGTCCCCATCCTCCATGCCGGGTTCCAGTCTTCCCTGCCCAGGGAAGAAAAGGCCTCTGGAGGCCCTAGGACACCAAGACAAACGCAGGTGCCCTTCTGTACCCCAGGCCTGACCCCAGCAGTACCCCTCCCTGAGCCCAGGGGGCCTGCACCCTCTCCCACACCATACCCTCTAGGCCAGAGCTTACTTCATGGACTGAATCAAGCCAAAGCGGGCTAGCAGCAGATCGCAGTACAGCTCCAGGATCTCCATGGCCTCCACAAGGTAATCTTCACGGATGATGTGCTCCACACGAATCCTGGCACGCTCATCTTTTCCAGCTGCCAGATAATCTGCAATCTCCTTCCTTGCCTTCTGGGCCAACTCAGCTACAGCACAAGGCCAGTCACTGTGCTGGCAGGGGCTGCTGCCTCCGTACCGGCCCACAGTTCCCACCACACACAAAGCCATCATGAGCTTCTCTCTCTCCTTCACTGAGCCTCTGCAGTGCAAGATACTCAACCATGGCTTGGTGGAGCCCTTGTATCTAGGTCCTAGCACACTATCTCACAGGAGAAAGGAGAGTGGGCTCTCACCTGCTAGAAACACTCCTACACCTTCAATTTCCCTGCAAAATCAATCAGAACCATGGATCTTATCTGTGTCTGGGCAGGTGGGGAGAGCCTCTTTCAGCACCCAGGAAGTTCCTCACTATGCTGTGAGCACAGAAGGCCCAGGAAAGGCCCCCCAGGGCAAACTGGCATGTCCCTCCACACACAACCCCATGCAGCCCATAAACTGCACTCCAACAACTGCCTGGAAGGTGGGCAGAGGCCACACTGTGACCAGCCTTCTCCTCCGGGTACTCACACACCGGGGCAGACCAGAAGGCCCAGGTCCAGCAAGAAAGAGCAAAAGGCTACTCCATACTTGGCCCACGAAAAGCACCCTAACTCCAGAAAAATCTTCTCCTCAAGTGTCCTGAGCCCCAAAAGCATCCTGGGTCACACATGCCCCCTCAAATACTCACTCTTCTTTTTCTCCAGCAGTTTGAGGCGATTGATGACAAGGCGCAGGTTGACTCGCAAGCGCTCAGCCTTGAACCCAGAGCCCAACATGATAAACACTTTCTGTGGGAGAAGAGGGGAAAGTCATTAGAACCAAGAGCTGTTGGTCAGAAGGACACCAGTCACTGTTTTACTTGGGGGGAGGCAGGAAATCCAAAAGCAAATTCTCCAAACAAACAGGCACAGGCCTGCTATTCCTGAATCTGGTTATTTACAAATGACTGGACCTACAGCACTCACCATTCCCTCTCCTACTTTACAACCCTGCACCTAACCAAGGCGAACAGGGAACAGAAACTTCCTGGATATTCCCATTCTGACAGACTGAATCTCGACCCCAGAAACAGACAGAAGATGATCAAAAACTGGTACTACTCCATAAATAGGAACAGGGTCAGAAAACATATCCTGAAACAAGAAGTTAAAGGCCTGGGTCTATTTAACCTAGGTAAGTGACACCAGCCACTGATGTGAACACCAGAGTACAGTAAAGTTTTAAAAGTGTTAGACAAACATCTACCAGCAGTGATCTCGGAAAATGTGACTGTATCTCAGTTCAGTAAGCTGAGCTTACAGACATGGTATTTTGAAGCTCCATTCAGACCTAGATTTTTAAGAAGCCCAAGTGGAAAAAACCCTCAGATTTCACAATAAACACCACAGCTGCTAGAAGATACACTTTAATTCCCTTACTTCAAAAGGTGAGGGAAGTAAACTAATGCCTCGAAATATCATCTGCAACAACTGTCACACCGTCAAATCCTTTCTCTCTCTTACTTCATTGACAAACCCACATTTTTAAAGAAACATGAAAGTCAACTGCAAGAACAAAGCCAACCTCTGTCCTATTAATATGCAAGCTGTAAAACAGCTGTATAATTAACCCAAAGACTGTACAAACAAAGGTTTTAACAGTCCTGTCATCAGAAGGAAAGAGTTACCATTCCATATTCCCCACACTCTTCCTGCTTAGTGAACACACGCTCCAGCACCTCTCCAGTCTCTCATGAGCCAGTTCAACTCATTAGCCCTACAGAAAACTAACTCATGAGACATTTTATCACAGCATTTTTTTATGCCAAGACCTATTAATCAAAAACCACTTCCTTAAGAGCTATGACCTAGAAGGACCTTGGCTTTTACCTGAAGGACACACTGGAACAGACTTTTGAATAGTGACAGCATTTTGCATACAAAAAGTGGTTTACATAAGATTTATTACTATTTAGAGTATATCCAGTTTATTTAGCTGATCTATTCACACATCAATAGTTACTAATGAGGCACAGAAACAACCAAACTCCTCTAACATTAAAACTTCATAGTGTTGCAAGAAACAGTCTCAGCACGAGTTGCAATGTCTCTGTAAAAGTACCTATTAAATAAATATTCTGATTAACAAAAAGCTGTTTTAACAGATTAATTCAAAATACAGCCATTAAGTAGCAGCCAGCCCACCAGCCATTCTTTCCCAACCATCCTGCTGTCATTCTAAAAGTTTTGTTGCCGCTACCCCCCCGCATGAGGCTCTCAGCCACGTTGCTGCAAGAAAAGCTGATCCAGTTTTTCCTTCCCTGTAACCTTGCCTTTCCATCCCTTCCTGCAGACGGGCTGCTACTCTGACCAGACCGAAACTAACCTTTACTCGTACAGCAATGAGCCTGTTGCTAGGGCTGTTTCCAGGTGCATCAGCCACCCGGCGAGACTCGCCGCGCACCTGCCCAATGGCCAGGGCCAGTTCAGAGAAGCGCGCAGGCAGGGCAGGAGACCCTGGGTTAGCTTTACCGACACAGCTGCATCCTGACGGGGCCGAGGGGAAGAAATCCTTCTCCCTCCCCAGCGAGGTGGCGCCGAGGGAACGTCCCACAGCACGGGCGAGGCAGGCCCCGGGCCTGCCCTCAGCTC